TTAAAATTGATACATAATCACAAATCAACATCTAGGGGATTTCTAGATTTTTCACTTCGCTCGAGCGTGTGTCTAGTTGATACTTTGGGAGTTTTCTTTGATGTTTTTTTTGAGTATTCAACTCATGGTTTGAAGAGAGTACATCAAAGGTTGTGTTTTGTTCTACAAAAGAGAGAGTTGTTCTTCAGTTGTGGATTCTGAAGAATTCGAGCCTGAAGCTTTGGTGGAATCTGGAGTGGCTCATCAGAAAGACAATTCCGTGGTGAAGATGGGGTTGGAAGAGGCATATAGAGGTTGGTTCAATTAGGCGTTGTGGATTCGCTAGGTAATTGAGAGTATACCTGTGTAATTCCTTTAATTCTTCTTAGTGGATTGTTCTTGTGGCTGTTGCCCGTGGTTTTTTGATCACAGTTGGAGGGGTCCCATTGTGGTTTTTTCCACGTTAAATCGCTGTGTCTCTTTGTCTTGATTGTTTGATTGGGATTGTTATATTCTGCTTAAAATTGATACATAATCACAAATCAACATCTAGGGGATTTCTAGATTTTTCACTCTTAATTGTACCCAAAAAGCCAATATGGCAGCAATTGGAATTCCACAAAGATAAAATGCCCCAAGGTTAACATATGCCCCTATATGTTGCCACCCACTTCCCCTAGCAACACCTGCTTAAAAAAATATTTAAAAAAAATTACAATTAGAAATGAACCGAGCTATTTACAAGTTTGGCTTAACTTTGCTCAATTCGTTAAGTAAATAAATGAGCATGAGTCAAACTTTTAGGCTTGTTTAATAAATGACCCGAGCTTGAGTTCGAATAAGCTCAGCTTCTTTATTACTCCTTCTGTCCCAAATTGTTTGTTCGGCAAATAAAATTAGAACTTATAAAGAATGTATTCTTGTATCGAAAGTTTTAAATTTTTTTCACTAATTGAAAGATCTCATTTAGTACTTCTAATTTGTGGAAAAAAACTAACAAAAATATATTATTTTTAAGTTTTTTTTTTTGTGCCAAACAAATAATTTGGGATGGAAATAGTATTTATTTAAATACTCAATAAATATATTATTTATATATAAAATAATATAAAAAATGATGTCAATAGTAGGCACAAAAAAAAAATTATTATTGAGCTTTGAGCTGAGCTCGAGCTCGACGGATTTTTTGAGTTGAACATTCGAGCTTGATAAAGAAATGCAATCGAGAGGCTCGACTCAGCTCATTTGTACTCTTAAATATGACATGATTTCATTTTTCAAAATTGCAAATATATACCAAACATTGATAGGGGGAAAAAATGTAACCTGAGAGGACTCCTTGTATGCTATCCATGATAACCGATAAGCAAACCAGAGGAGCCATGGCCGTGACATAATCCACGACTTCTTTCTCGTTGCTGAAGGTGTAGCCAAAGATGCGCCTACAGGCAAACAGGGTTGCACTCACTACTGTAGTCTCTGCGACGGCAAGTAATATCACGGCAAATACAGCTACACGAGCCCCTTGTGGATTCCCAGCTCCCAATTCATTTGAAACTCTAGTGCTAAAAAAATCAAAGAAATAAAGAGCAGTTACATAGACATCTATGAAACACCAACAATTCAAAATAAGTGTCGTATCCATGTCGGACACTTAGACACTTTGGGGACATGCGTACACGTCGAGGACAAGTATGGGACATGCCACATGGTGTATCCTTTTATTTAATTAATTTATTTTTAAGAGACACGATAAAAACACTTTGAGGACACAATATTGTCTTTATTCCAATTTTCTTTAGTATTTTTTATGAATATTGAATGTTTATTATTATTTTTCTTAGATTTAAATAATTAATAAATCATTCATAATAAAATATATAAACTATAAGTGTTAATTTATTTATTTTTAAAAATAAAATATAGAATTAGAATTAGTTTTTGTTAATATTAATTGTTTGTGGATGTAATATTACTCTAGATAGTAGATAAAAATATATAAAAACATATTTTATTGATGTGTCCCCGCTATGTCCGTATTCTAATTTTTTTGAAATTGCCGTGTTCCATATCCACATGTATTTGTACTCATATCCATATCCGTGTCCGTGTTCATATCCGTGCTTCGTAGATAGACATAATTGTACATAATTACATGTATAACAAAAAAGAAAAAGAAAAAGAAAAAAAGTAGTCATTTGCAACATATTAAATGAACTAACCTCACGACAGCACCAAATCCATAGGGTATTGCATAGAGTGTTGCAATGGTATT